CTTGAGTATTACATATGTTCTATTTATTTCGTGTTCTTATTAATCAAATCGTTAAATAAAATTAAGAATTTCATATTAAACGATATTTTAACTTGTAAATCATTAAGTTCCTACATCAAAGTAAGTCAGACTGATAAAAAACGACTATTTTCCCCAAAATAATCAAGCAAAATTGATGGAAAGGAGAGTTTTTCTCGGATTGGGAAAGCTATAAGAAGTAAAACATAAAACAAATAATGAAAAGCGCCGTCATACAATCGTGGGAGAGATGACATCAAAGATGGCATCAGAATGACGTTTTAGCCGACGTACACTAGCAATAGCATTAAATTGCATTGTCAATGAAAATCTTATGACAGGGTAGATTTTAGCTGAGCATACGAAAACGCTGCAAACGGAAACCTTATAATTATGTAGATTTAAGATGATTTTCATCTTAGAACTAGCTTTATTCAAGGTTTTTTTTTCCCGCTTGAAAACCCTAAGACAACCTCGTTTTAAGGTTGTTTTGTTGAAGGTTGTTTTCCAAGGTTTTGGATTAGGGTAATGTGCGTAGAATAGAGCAGATTGTCGCAGACCTCGTTTTAAGGTTAGAAGGTTTACACGTAAACCGTGTAAAAAACCTTTTTAGGTTTGCATGAAAAGATTTTTGTTGTGCTGAAAAAAACCTTATATTGCTATCTGGGCTTCATGTTTTGGAATATAAAAGAAATGATATATCAGACATTTTTGCTTTAAATATTATCATTTCAAAACTCGATAAAAAAAAACTAGAAAACAATACGAATTTAGTTTATGCACGCAGGAAGTTCCAAAATTAGATACTTTCTTATTTTTTTTTTTGGAAAAAAGAGCACAAATTCTAGAAAATTATCAAAATGTTTCTCAAACAGCTCAACTGAAAATGGAAACAGAAAAGTCAAGGTCAAGATCATTTTTAGTCAATGAGAAAAAAGTACCGCCATGTGTTTTATGTTCAAATAGCCATCCCATTTTTAAGTGCGATTATTTTCTGAAGCTTAATGTTGAGCAAAGAATTGAAGTCATATCAAAAACAAATTATTTTATAATTGTTTATCGAAATCGCACTCTGTGAGAAACTGTAAATCGAAACATTCTTGTTCGAGTTGTGGTCGCAGACATAATACATTAATTCATAGGCTTCAAGGGGAAAATGTTGATGATTCGTCGCGTCAGCAATCTCTTATTTCAAATGTTGATAATTCAAGGGCTTTGAAAAATACGTTTCCGACTATTAATGCTGCCGAATTTAATGCTCAAACTTTATCCCTAATAAGTAAAAATACTCGTCATTCAAATAAAAGTGGTATTTTGCCAACATTTGAGGTATTTATTAGGAGTTCAAAAACTCGTACTCTTATTAAAGCTAAGTGTATTTTAGACAGTGGTTCAACTTCTAACGTTTTAACCGAAGCGCTTGCTAATGCATTAGAGGTCCCATTGCGAAAAATAAACAACCCCATTGCAGGGTTAGGTAATAATAAAACTGCTGTAAAAAGGAAATTACAGGCTGATATTACTAACAGGGATGGGACTTATTTTAAAACATTAGATTTCTTAGTTGTGAAAAAGATAACAGATTTTATTCCAACTGCACCATTATCATTAAATAAATTTGAGTTACCTAAAAGCATACATTTAGCAGAACCTAATATTTTCGCAAATTCAGCTAACGTAGACATGCTCATAGGAGCGGAAGCATTGTTTGAAATTATGAGGACAGGCGATATTAACATACCAGGTACTGAAATAGTTTTAAGAAATTCTGTTTTTGGGTTTATCTTTACGGGAGCAATAGGTACAAATAGTCAGGATAAAGCTAAAGACTTCTGTGGGTTAATCAGCCAATCTACTAACACTTTAGAGCAAACCCTGAGAAAGTTTTGGGAAGTTGAGGATAGCTTAAGCTCAAAAGAGCATTACATGAGCCTAGAAGATAATTTATGCGAGCTGCATTATCAAAATACGCTCAAGAGAGACAACACTGGTAGATACATAGTTCAAATGCCAATCAAAGATCTCCATAAGCTGGGAGAATCCAAACATTTAGCAGAGCAAAAACTTAATCAGCTTTGGAGATGGCTTTCTAAAAATGACACTATGAGGAGTCATTATATTAAATTCATGTAAGAATACCTAGATATGGGCCCCATGGAGCCCGTAGAAAAAGAGGATGATCAAGATCCAGTTGATAAAAGCAATTATCCTCACTGCTATCTGCAGCATCATGGAGTCTACCGCCCTGAGAAGACTACAACTCCTCTCAGAGTAGTCTTCAACGCCTCTGCACCTACTTCAACTGGTGTAAGCTTAAATGATCTACAAATGAAAGGACAGGTAAAGGAGGACAGTTTCGATATTTTGGTGCGTTTCCGTAAACATCACATTCTCTTTACGACAGATATTCAAAAAATGTTCCGTCAAATATTAGTTGAACCTTCCCAAAGAAACCTTCTTCGCATCCTTTGGAAAACAAGTGAGTATCAATCGTGCAAAACGTACCGATTGAAAACCGTAACATACGGCACCACTTCAGCTCCTTTTTTGGCCACTCGAACAATCCTCCAGGCAGCCAGAGATGAGTCTGAAAGATTTCCTCTTGCGGCCGAGGTTCTCGAGAGGGATAGTTACATGGATGATGTAGTCAGAGGAGTGGATAGCGTACTTACAGCTGTGCGTCTTAAATCTGAGTTGTCTAGTCTTCTGAGATCTTGTGGCATGAAGTTACATAAGTGGAGATCCAATGTAGTTGAATTAGACGAGTCAACTGATGTCGTAGAGCACAGATTTACCAACACTGACGAGACTACAAAAACGTTGGGTGTCATCTGGAATGCCAGAACAGATGAATTCCGGTTTCAACTCACTTCGTTAAAAAGGCAAAAAACCTATACAAAGAGAGATGTGCTTAGCATCATAGCACATATCTTTGATCCTCTTGGACTTTTGGGCCCAATTATCACAAAAGCAAAAATCTTCCTTCAGAGACTCTGAACAATCAAGTTAACGTGGGACGATGTGCTTCCTCCAGATTTAGCCAAAGAATGGGAATTGTTTGTCCACAATCTTCCAGCCATACACGAGTTACATGTGAAACGCAAAGTGACAGACAATGCATCAGGAATGGAACTACATGTTTATGCCGACGCCAGTGTCCTTGCTTACGGAGCAGCAATTTACGTACAAACTCGAAATGTAGACGGCCATCTTACATCAGAACTATTGTGTTCTAAGTCAAGAGTTGCTCCTATAAAACAACTCACTATTCCACGTCTTGAACTGTTATCTTCTCTATTGGCATGCAGGCTACTGGACGAAGTACGGAACTCTCTGAATGTCCCCAACGAACAGTGCTATATATATTCAGACTCAAAAATAGTTCTCGCATGGATAAAAACTGACTGTTTAAAGTTAAAACAATATGTCGCCAATCGAGTGAAAGAAATTCAACAACTATCACAAAATTGTGTTTGGAACTATGTTCCGTCGATATCCAATCCAGCAGATATATTGTCACGTGGTTGTGAAGCAAAGGAACTTTTACATCACTCATTATGGTGGCAGGGTTCGAACTCCATTAATCAAATTAAGAACTCCGAGTTTGAAAGCGAACGATTTTCCGAAAGGGACTCAAAGATGTATCAATCTGAACTCAAGCCATCGCAGGACATTAATCTATTAATTTCTCATTCCAGTTTTTCAAACCAAATATTTTCTATAACAAATTCTTATTCAAAATTGATTAATGTAATGTCTTATGTATACAGGTTTATTTACAACTGTAAGAATCAAATTAAGAGAAGTGGAAATCTTACATCCTGTGGGGTAAGTGAAGCAGAATTAAAGATATGTTCATTTGTGCAGCAGGAATCTTTAGCCGAAGAATTTAAATTATTCAAATCAGGTAAACCAGTACATGTTAATAGCAAACTGAAAATTTGTTTACATTTTTTGACAATTCAGCAAATGTTATAAGAGTTGGAGGGCGTCTAACAAATTCTGATTTGCCCTATGAGAGCAAACATCCCCTAGTTTTGCCTAAAAATCATAAAATTTCTGAGCTTATTTTATTAAATTTACATAAATCAAATTGTCACATAGGTGCACAGGCACTATTAAATTTGTCAAGACCAACAGTTTGGATAATGCATGGTAGGAATTTGGCTCGGAAAATTGCTCATGATTGTGTCATTTGCACTAAATTTAAACCTAGATTTTTAGTTCAAAAAATGGGCGATTTGCCTAGTGTTCGATGTAAACCAACTTTTCCTTTCCTAAATTCTGGTACTGATTTCGCAGGACCTTTTTTCATAAAAAACAAAAATCAACGTAAAGGCCCGTTTCAAAAAATATTTATTGCTATTTTTGTATGTCTTGTAACTAAAGCTATTCACATTGAAATTGTTTCTAATCTAACATCTGGCTCTTTTATTGCAACCCTAAAAAGATTCATTGCCTGTAAAGGCAAATGTTCCATATTATATAGTGACAATGCCAAAACCTACTTAGGAGCAAATAGAGAACTTAAACGTTTGTATAATCTAGTTAGTAAGCCAGATGAAACTCTATCTAAATTTCTTATTTCTGAGAGAATTAATTGGAAGTTTATTCCCCCTAGAAGTCCAAATTTTGGTGGAATATGGGAAAGTGGTATAAAATCATTTAAATTTCACTTAAAACGAACAATAGGTACTTTAACATACGAAGAATTTCTAACTATTATTAATCAAATCGAAGGTATTTTAAATTCAAGGCCTTTAATGCCACTTTCCAGTGATGCTGATGATCTGGATGTTTTAACACCAGCTCATTTTTAATAGGAAGATCTATAAAAAACATTCCTGAACCAGAATTAATTGATCTTTCAGATAATAGGTTAAGTAGGTGGCAATTGATTACAAAAATTACCCAAGCAATTTAGAAAAAATGGTCAAATAATTATTTGTGCCATTTACAACAACGATCGAAATGGCTCTTTGAAAAGGATAACATTTCTATTGGCACTGTAATTATAGTAAAAGACGATAATTTGCCCATTAATCAATGGCTCATGGGAGTTGTTGTCGAATTGTTTCCAGGAAAAGACAAATGTGTTAGAGTTTGCAGTGTGAAAACCAAACGTGGTATTTTCAAACGTCCTATCACTAAGTTAGCCATTTTACCAGTACCAGTTGAAGTTTGATTAAGTTATATCATTGTATGTCAATTTTATATGTGTATATATATTTTTTGCTTTCTATTTTATAAGAAAAGTGATGTCATTTCCCAATTGTTTGTTTTGCATATTACTTATATTTGAAATTATTTTCATTGCTAAATACAGTACTGTCTTTCAACGCGGGGAGTATGTTGTATCTTTACTCCAGCGCCACCTACAGTAACTTTTTGTAACACTCAGAGTAGCAATAAACAAGCTGTCATAAGGTTGTAATGGTGCTCTCTCTTTTGTCGTATTCCAATGTTAGCATTTACCAGATTTAGAAAAATTACTAATTTTAGGTCTTACCAGCAATATTACAGTCCACATTAATTAGAAGGGAATATTCATGGATAAATTACCCCCCTTTTGTTACCCCGCATCAACAACATTAGGTATGCATATTTTTACATCACTTTAATCTATGCAATTTTAAATGGCAAAGATAAAATCTGAATCGAATCACAGAAATAAAAATTTAATTAAAACTTCTTTACTCACAAACTATTTGAACAGTTTAATTTTATCATTAAAAGTTTTCGCAATCTAGTCAAAAAGTTTTTAAAGACAAATATGAAATTAAATAATAGGCATGAAACTTTAATTTTTACATTAAATTATCTTAGTTCATATGAACGAGTTTCATAGTTTTCTAGAACATTTGCATATAGAAGTTGCTCTTTACATTACTATGCTCATTATTATATTCTTGGTTTTTGACGTAAGGAAAGGAATTATATCCCATAATTTATCTACTTATCTTTATTGTTTTAAAATAAAACCTCTCAGTTTTTTTTTCGTGGATTTTTATATTGGATTTCAAGTTAAACATGTATATACAAGATGTTAAACTAAATTGAAAATTTTAGCGCATTTCCTGAGTTTCAATTTATGTTTTTATTTTGCTTAATCTTATTCCAAGTTTTTCTCAAGAAAATGAATTTCTCATCTCTCATTAAATTTTCATGTATCATTTGTATTGATAATTAATCATTAAAATGGCATTTATAACTCAAAATTTGAATTGAATGAACATTATCTTGGTGTTGCAGAATTCGGAATGAAAAAAAATACAGAATTACTTCCCTGAATTTTTTATAAAGCGTTAGAATTTGATATATTGAGGACATATTATTTTTTTGCATAATTTATATAATTAAAGCCATGGAATAGCCCAAATGCTTTCATATAGTAAAATTTCGTGGCAGTTTTAGCTTGCTTCTGCGTGAAGTGTAAATAAGAGTACATAAACTAATCTTGTAGGTTTTGAAAAATAATATTAATTCCTTCCAAATACTACCCAGCATAGACTCTATTGCTAATGAACATTAGAAATGCAAATTTGCATCAATTGTCAAAAGATTACAAAGTATATAGGTATAGATAATTTAGTTCAGTATTAATTGCAATATTATGTAAAAGCTTATTAAAATAATATTTAAATATTCTGAATAAAATCGTTATAAGAAAAAAATACAACTGCGTTTTATTCAACATTCAATTTGATTTAAACATTGTAGTTTAACATTTCTCTTGTGTTTTATAGCAGTCTAGAGATACGCCATGTATGTTCTAAATTATTAAAAAAATATATATAAGAAATGCCATATTTGACGCTGTAATTGAGAATTCGAAATTTGCCGATATCAAAACCTGTTTTCTTATAGCTCAATGTAAATGAAAATTGAATCCTTTTCTGGTTTAATTTTCCGTTTTATTGGTATTTTCATAATGAAACCCTCTATAATTAAATTTAAACCAACTAATAAAATAGTTTAAAATTACTTGGTATTTCTTTCAGAAATGGAAAAAACTAAAAATAAGTCGCGCAATTGTTTTGTAATAAACCAATCATGCTTACCAATTTATTAAGTTGTTCATAATTATTCTGTAATTTGTAAAATAAAATTCAGTAATTAGTGAAAAAAAGTGCAGCAGTTATTGAATTCTTAAGTCTACTTCATAAAGTTAATTGACTAATAGTATGCAAAAATAAAAAATATATTAAGCATATTTACTTTGAAATCTCTTCACTATATTACCTGAAAGTTTTTCAGAACATTCGTACTTAAAAGTATTTAGTAATGAATAATACTGAAGGTATTCTGCAACTTATGGATTATTGTGTCAATGAATTGAATTTGAAATACGAGTACATTATGCCTGGAAAATTTCAAATCGATGATTTGGAGAGTAAATTTGGTTGCTATCGACAATTAGCTGGATGCCAATATAATATTTTAACTAGGCAATTATTTGAAAGCGAGGCAAAACTTAGATTAAAGTCCGTTTAGTATTTAAATATTCCCACGAAATCAGTTGGCCTTGTCCAAGTCACAGAGTTGCTACATAAGGAAAATTTTGCAGAAGCGTTTCAAAATGATAAGGTATTCTCTTTAAAAATTATGTCACCTGATATATCCGGCTGGTGCTAGCAGTTTTGAGGGCTAAAGGTGGTCCTACATGTTATTAGCAGGGTGGTCATAATGTAATGGCTCTTCGGTGTATATANATTCATCCGCAGATCGTAATCGGATGAAAAGAGTGTTTGATGTAACAATTTGGGAACCGCATTCTGGTTTTGGGGTACCCAGAGACCACTGGAATGGGACTCGCTTGACCGCCATATCTTCCAGACTCATTTTTCTGGGGCTATGTTAAGAATACCGAAATAACCCCAAAAGCATTTATATATTATTATTATTATAGATATAATTATCTATCTGTATAATCCGTGATTATAGATATTTATATATTAATAAGTTTAGTAGATAATTTGCCCTAAAAACTATGTTCTTTCAATTTTCTTCAAATTTCTAATATCATAACAGCAGAGCCGCGATGGCTCAGGGGATAGAGCGTTCGCCTTCCAATGAGGCGAACCGGGTTCGAATCCCAATCGATACGAATTTCGCATCCCACTTGCATTGACTACTGTGCGGACGTGAAATATCCTCAGTTGTAGACGGTTCATGGGTTAGAGTCCCTTTGCCGTCAGGCTAACCGTGGAAGGTTCTCGTGGTTTTCCTCTCCATGTAACTCAAATGCGGGTTAGCTCCATCAAGAAGTCCTCCACGAAGGCAAATTTCTCCCAATACTCGATCTAGGAGTCCCCTTGTCTCCTGGATTGGGTTCAAAATTACAAGGCTACGGAGTTGGACATTAGTATACCCATAAAATTGGGTCGGCTGTTCAACGACATTTATAAAATAAAATAAAATATCATAACAGCGGGCTAGGATAGCTTGGTTGGTTTTGCGCTGGACTCATGTTCGTGAGAACGGAAGTTAGAATCTAGCCGGCTGAAGAATCCCCGTGTATTAAAGGGTGACTGATGAGCGCTAAATACGTCGAGGTCACTATGTCCTTCAAGTTCCCATAGCAAATCAATACCTCTGGCGAAACTGATCCAAGAGTTCTCTTGTCTTCTCGATTAGGTTCAAAATTGCAAGGCTACGGAGTTAAACATTGGTAGTCGTAAACTAAAAAAATTGGGTTCAACGATAGTTATAAGTGTTCAACGACGGTTATAAAATAAAATATCCTAACAGAACTCTCTACTGAGGAACGCTTTAGTTAGTTAACTGATCTAGTTAGTTAGTTGATTACTCCTGCTAGCCAATCGTGACTGCAAAATTCTTAATGGAGCTCGCTATAGTGTAAGCAATTTGTAAATATGTAGATACATTATTAATTAAAAATTTCATAGCCATTACAGTATTTGTCGTTAAGTTGCCTTTGATAACGAGCGACCCTATGGATTCACAAAACACGGTGTTCATAACGATATTCAGTTAGTTAACGAATTAAATTAGTGGAAAATTTTTGTATCGTAGTTACAAATTATTAAAAAATAGAACAAATTATTAAAAAAACGATTTTAATGAATGTATGCAAATTTAATAGTTTTAAAATTTCTATTTCTGAGTTCAGCTACTGAATAGTTTAATTTTTAACGTTCAAATTTTGTTTGTTTAAAGCTTTTAAAGCATTTTTTCATGATAATAATAAATGTTAAAGTTTTGACGAAGTTATAAGCTGAACTGATTAAAAACTATTGTATTGATATTAACATGGTAAAAAGTTATTTCAGAACCTTTAATTTTTGCATAGAGTTACTCTGAAAGGTATTCTGCTACTGGGGGTTCTTCTGTGTTATCACCAAGAAGTGGATTGTAAGAGCGGTGTTAGACATGAACTTCTTTTTAGTTGTCCTTCAAATTACACAAATAATAAAATTTTGGTGGACTAATATTTTTTTTACTAGGGTGTGGAGAATTTTGGAGTTCAAATTGTGAGCTTTATAACTTTGTAATTTGATCTAAGTTTAAATTAACCAGTTGAAAAAAATGATTATATTAGTAATTGATTGGTATAGTAGTTGAAAAATAAGTATTTGTGTATTTCTCATACTTAAGCTAAAAATTGTTTTACGGTATAAATTAGTATAAATTAGTCTATGTAATTCGGATAACTGTTCATTCTTAATTATAAATAAATTTTTTGTTATCATTTATTTATATACAGCCTGTGTGTTTCAATAGCTAATCTGTAAATTAACATCATACATTGTTTGAAATTTTAGATCATATTGAACTGCAATACTATATTATCATATGTCATTTTCTGCAACCTTATAGTATCAATTTAAATCTCATCCTGCAAATTTTAACTTTTTCATTTTTATTACAGTGTGTGTTATACTTATTTTGAATGAAAGCATGATTTGTTGTTGTTGTCGTAGGAAATTATGGCACTGAGGGTGCAATTGCTCTTGTTTTCCAGTAGCACCATCTATGACCAAGAAATCGATTTCTGCCACACCCATATGTTACATCCATTTATAGCACAAACCCATTCATATACTATTTATTCATCCGCAGATCGTAATCGGATGAAAAGAGTGTTTGATGTAACAATTTGGGAACCGCATTCTGGTTTTGGGGTACCCAGAGACCACTGGAATGGGACTCGCTTGACCGCCATATCTTCCAGACTCATTTTTCTGGGGCTATGTTAAGAATACCGAAATAACCCCAAAAGCATTGCTGCCATTCATCGACAGACACTTCATGTAGGTTATACGTCTGCACCACATCATAACTAATGATGACATAACCCGAATATCTGTAGTGTAGAATAAAGTTAGAGTTTTTATTTCATTTAGTAACCCTGTATTACAATCACTATTTCCAATACTTATCATTTATAGTGTTGTTGGGTCCACTATTGGTATCTGACTGTAGTACTAAACCAAAACTTTGGCTGATGATTGATTAGAATGCAATAGCACTTGATAGAAAGATACTCGCGTTTTTCTTTCAGCATAAAACGTTCCTCGGGAATGATTGAGGAATCTCAAAAGTAGAATCAGAAACTACAGAAAAAAAATTATATTTACAAATGGGGCTAGTTACTTGTTGATATAGCCTAAAGAACCTACAAAAAAGTGTTAGAAAAAAGTTTTCTTCTATGGAATTAAGAGAAAACAAATTTTATATAGAACTTTTGATAACTCTTGGGCCGAACTTATTCAAAATACATAATCAACATCCAGAACGGAAAATCTAATGATTTCATCAAAAGTAATTGAGGGAGATACGCTTTTAATAAACAGACTGAATAAATGCGTCATGTCAATCAGTGAATAAAATAAATGCATAAAAAAAAATCAGCTTTTTTGAACATGAACACAGAACTTATTCTCTTTAAAGCGTAGCTGTAATGTACGAAAACATTTTATTTCATAATTACTATTATTATTTTCAGTAAAATATTTTTTTAAAGAATATCCACATTCAAACAGAAGTACTTGAATTTTATTTACAGACACATAAAATAGTACAAAAAATAATATACTTTAAACTTTATTTGGAAATAATACAAATTAGCTTGTATACAAATTTTTTTTCTTCTGAAACTTAATGCAATGAGAAAAACAATTAAAAAAGGAAAATGTATTCCATTATTTTGGCTTTTTGTTCAGCTTTAGAAAGAAAAATATTTTATTCGTAAAAGAAAAAATAAAGTGCAAAATGTTATTAAAACATAATTTTACATCATTTAAGAAAATAAATGTTTTATAAAAAAATTATTATTTATGTCACGAATGGTTTATTTATTATCTAAAAAATTCAACAATAATAATTAAAACAAATATAAGAAGTTTCTTACATAGATTGTTCTTAAATATACTTCTAGCTACATTAAAATTTTTAAATGTTTTTTGTATCAGGAAAATTTGTCTTTGCTCTTAGTAAAAATATTTTAAATAAAAAATTTATTTCAACTGTATATAAATTACAAACTCTTTGTTAGTTTAAAAAAGAAAATAGTTCATTTTTAAATAATCTTGCATGAAATTTCGTCTAGCATGAAAAATCATTTTATATTCATATCAATATAATGTTCATAAATATTTTCATTTTAACATTATAAATCAAAAGAAAAAATCTATCTTACACTAAAAGTTACAATCAGGCACTTTTGTATTAAATATTTGTCTTTATAATTAATATATTCGCAAATGTTCCTTTGAATTGGATCATTATTTTTTCAATATTATTAAAATAAAATAAAAAAATAATAAAATTTTTGAAAAAAAAAGTTTATATTCGTGTATTTCAATTTGACAAAAAAGCTAATCAAAAGAAACCAAATTTTTACGTATGTATATATATATATATAGATAAAGAAAGATAGATTTTCAATATATTAATTCTTTTAAAAACTTCCACTTTCGATCTTTTTGATGGAACTTTGAGTCCTCTTCAAGAGCAACCTGAAACAATTATTAAAAGTTACTAAGTCAATTTATCTGGCTAAAATGATATAATTTTTTTACTGACTATTGTACATTTTTAGTTAAGCAGGATGTGGATATAAAAAATTGTTTTATTATTGGTTTTCTGCAATTTAAATATTTAGGAGATTATATAATATATATGTTACCGTTAAAGTATATAATGCAGTTATTTCATAGAATACCTAGTTATTCCATGAAATAACTGATCGTGCCCGTTAAAGTGTGTAATATGTTATTAATTCGACACTTAAACTAGTTATTCTATGAAATAACTAGGTATTTTATAAATTAACTAATGAGAGACAGTTAAAGTGTAAAATAAACAATTTATCTAAAATGAAATAACTAGGTATTCTGTAAATAAACTAATGATAGACAATTAAAATGAAAGAGAAGCAATTTATCTAATTTATGCTGCGTATAAATGGTATTTATGGAAACGTACCATAAAATCATTTGTTGCAACAAGGTTCACTGAAATGACACTTGGAATTACAAAGAACATTATTTCTAAAACAAAAACATTTTTTGTTGACACACTGGGTTTTACACGAACATTTTTTAAATCCCTGAATAGATTTTAAATCCCTTAATAGATTATTTTACACTTTAACGGGCTGCAGATCGTTATTCTATGAAATAACTAGTTAAACCATGAAATACAAGAGAGTTATGCATTTTAACGGACACGATCAGTTATTTCATGGAATAACTAGGTATTCTATAAAATAACGGATTTCATACTTTAACGGCAACATATGTTAGCATATATACATAGAAAATTCCAAATTTAGTGATAGAATATGAAATTTTATACTCAGCTTCTTAATAGTCAAAAGACGATTAGCCAAACTGAATTTGATAAAAAAAAAAAAAAAAAAAAAAAAAAAAAAAAAAAAACACCAATATTTTCACTTAGGAAACGGAATTCTTTAAAGATTAAGACAGTGAGTTTCGCCCACAATGACGCGGCTGTGATTTAGATTCGCATACAAGAACCCAGCTCGATTTCTCAGCTTTATATACGAAGCATCGCATTTTCTACAACATTTTAATAAACACAAGAATGAGTGAAGCAAATTTTCATACCTTCTTAAAGTTATCAAAAGTATAAAACAATTTGCATACAGCTTGTATAGAAAGAAAATATCAACATTTAAAAGGCAGGAACTAGATTCAAACCCACTAATTTCGCTTGGAATTTCTCTGTTCTAACCATTCAGCAGTAGGAACACTTTTATGCGAAAATTAAGTTAAGTATTATATATAAACATATAAATTGCGTTAGAAAGTCTCAAAAATTTTGACTTCTATTTTACAAATTCTCGTTTGATGTTTGTTAAATGAAAAATTTCCAAGTTAATTAAAAGTTGCTCCCCGTGTAGGATGACTAAGGCTACAAATTACTAATTAGCATTATTAAGAAATTTTTTCATACAGAAAAAGAACTATTGCCTCCCTTTATATTCTCTCCATATTGTCTCTCTATATATACTCTATATACTGTCTCAAAATTTTTGCTCCCAACTGTTTATTACAACATCGCCACTGTTTGTTGATGTTATATATAAAAAACTTCAAAACAATGTAAATAGCCGTTTTATTCCATCTGTGTGAAATTTGAAGTAGCAGCGTGCTATTTTATAAGTAGAAAGTGTTCCTTTAACTTTATAACATTTACATCAAAATAGATTAAAGACTGTTAATAATAAAAGATAAATTTATGCCATTAATAATTAACCTATACATAAATACGTAAAAAAAGGTTTCAAACATTAAAGTTAAAATTAACTAATTATTTAATTACAGATTTTAGTCAGAGGAACAATAATTTTTTCATTCGATTTTAAAAATATCTGAACTCAAACTGCGAAAATAACACAGACCCTAAAAATGATAGTTATGAGAGAATGATTGCAATTTACAAACTGATTTTTATATTCTTTGTGTGCTGATTTCAAATAGGATCAAATATGGTTAGGTCACAAAAGGATTTTTCACAAACATGGCTTGAATATATGAAGAAAAATACTTATATACAGGGTGGTCCTAAAATTCGTGTCAAAAATGTAAAGGTTGGTAGAGGGGACTTAAATAATCATATTTCGTATAGGATTGTGTGTGTGGTAATGCCGCCTTGAGCCGGTAGGAAGCGCTGATGACTGCGGCGTATAAAAGCGCTTGCTAGCACGGATCTCAAACAGCATGCATCGTTTCACCAATGTGGAGCTTGCCGACGTGCATTTAATGTATGGGGCTACACAAGGAAACGAATTAGCTGCTCAGAGGATGTACAGAGAGCGTCAGAAATCACCTGGACGCTGTTTACGGCCAGCATTGGATAGGACGGGGTGATCTAGTTCCCTGGCCATCGCGTTCTCCTGATTTAACCTGCTTGGATTTTTTCCTTTAGAGTCATATTAAAAGTCTGGTGTACGAGAGTCCCATCAAGAAGATCTTGTTGCCGGCTTGTCTGTTGCTGCTTTACATGTGCTCGACATGCCCAACGTCTTTTCTAATGTACGCCGATCCATGCGCCGTCGCTGTGAATCTTGTATCGATGTTGGTGGCTGCTTTTTCGAGCACTTCTTGTAAACTGTTGATAAATTTTTATTTTCTTTTGTCTTTACTTGTCTTTTCAGTTTCCTCTGATTCATACTGCTTTACAAACTAGTGCTTTAATGTGCCATTATCGCACGCACATTCCTATCCGAAATATGCTTATTTATGTCCCCTCTACCTACCTTTACATTTTTGACATATATTTTAGGACCACACACACACACACACACACATATATATATATATATATCAACTCTAGGAACACAATACTTAAAATTTTCAAAACTCTCTATTCCCTGAGCCATTACAGCTCTTATCTCAAAGATTATTATCATCCCAAGANTATATATAGCCAGTAAGGTTTCTTCCAATATTGTTCCCAATCAGAGTCCTAGGTTTTACAGGAATAATTCCAACTATAAAGAATTTTTAAAAGGGACTGATAAATTTAAAATGGATTTAATTAATAGCCATTTTCCTAACTAATTCCTTCAATTTTATTTTTAAAAAATTTTAAACCACTTAGAACACAAAAATTTTTACATTTATATAAATTCGAATATATTTTTCTTCTGTTGATTTTTTTTTATTAAATATCTTCTTTCTGAATTTTGAATTAGCTCTGATTTATTTTTAAGGCAAAAACTAATTATGATAAACTATTCCTAAAGCCACTGGGCGGAATAATTTGGATGTATGACTGTTTACACTGCATCAATTAATTTATTAAGTAAACGTCTAAATAAACTGTGGCCATTATATAATAACTTCAATTATTTAATTTTAATTGACCAGAGTAATAAACAGTTTATTTTTATTTATTGCTATTATTAATATATAGTTTTTTTTACGTATGGAATGGACTCTGATTTATGAACAGCCATCCTCTATGAACACAGGTAATACATGTATACTTTACTGTTATGAAAGAATGTATGAATGAAGGATAAAGTCTATAAACGGCATTCTATCCATGTATGCAGACTCTGATTCATAAACAGTCACCCTATATGAGAAGGAATACCAATAAAATGGTTTATTCCTAATTTTTGTCTGTGATTTGAACTCTACAACGATTACCTATTTGAAGGGATTCTTTTTTACGATTTAATTTTAATTTTTTAATTAATTTTAATTTTTATTTATATTTTATTATTTTTTTACTGGTTTTTCTTCCTATTAAGGGCTTTGTTACTTAAATTTTCCAAATATTTTTTTATTAAAATGCTTTTTTCATAGATGGCAGCTCTGAAATGCAATTTGCTTCATATTTTTTCTGCCAAATATATGTTAAAAAATTTTTTTAACAATTTAATCTATAAGCACTGTTTAATATCTCTTTCTGCTTAGTGAATTTTTGTTAACTATTAGATTAGCATATCTGTGAAGGCATTTTAACATTTACTCCAAGTCGGCAAGTTTGTTTTCTGCTTTCTTTTTATCTCAAACTCATTTTCAATTGCATTTTTACTTTTTAGCAATATAGATGCATTATAGAGAGTAATTTTATCTTAGAATAATTATTCCTTGTTTTGAAGTATTGCATTTACCACCGTAAAGTAATGCATGCGTCCTGAAGAGAACCTTTACGTTTTCCTAGTAAAAGAATTTTCTATTTTATTTTATAATTTTTTGACTAACCATTACTTTAGAAGGAGAGACTTAAGATTTCAAGAGAGATTTAGGAAGAAACTAAACCATTACTTCATATGTTACTTTCTGATGTGTGTTCACAGAACCAAATGAGATTAAAATCAAGTCGATAGAACGAATAGTTAAGAAGTAGTTAAGGTTTTATGTTTTTAGAATACAATTTTATATTTATACCTATTTCCGCGTCATTGGTAAGAGTTTCTGGAGGTTTCTTTATCTGTCATAGCATTTGTTAAAGCTGTGATGGCATTGAGCTATCAAAGGCTTTAATGAAATGCCCACCCAGCTTCAGATCGATGAGTGTCTAGGAAATTTGGGCTTTGTCTCCTCATAGTGGAGTCTCTATGAGTTGCTATAGTTGAAGTGCTTTACTTTCAGCATATTTATAACAAATGTGGGTGAATAAAAATAGTTTACTCCTATTTTAAGAAAACTGTCAAAAAATTTGAATGCAGTTGACATGGAATTGATTTTTAATCGTTTGTATTATATAAGAAATTCCGTGAAGACCGTTTTTAATACGTATTTTTGAAACTCCTTATACCCTGGTACTCTCAAATTAGTATTTAACCGATAAAAAAACACATTCGAAATCTGACAAATCACAGAAAAGGAAGGTTGATAAAAACAAGTTTGATTGTAACAGGAAACAAAGAGGAATCACAGAAACACCGTCAAGCTTCAATCTGTTTTGATGTTTATTACATTCGTTCTGCTCTCTCGATAAGCATACTTATTTGTTTTGCTAAGGATTATATATTAAGGGAGACACCTTTTATGACAAGAAATGGAATGGAGCATAAAAATAATACTCACTAAGAATTCTTTGCTGAGGTAATATGGCACCGCTCTTAATATAAATGGAGGATCTTCCATTAACATGATGGTTGTTAACTTGTTGTTTTCCCCGACCACCGTTTCTGTGTGGATGATTCCTTGTAAAAGATGGTTCTTCAGATTTCCTTTTCTGATTTCTTGTGGATTGTCTCTGGTGGTCTTGACCATCACTACCACTCTCATCACTGTTGTAATCGCAAGATTGATATTTTCTGGTTCTTTTCTCGAATTCTCTTGTCTTTTTACGAACGTTTTCTTTCAGTTCTTTTTCAAAATTCAAAGTCGAAAACAGATTGGGTTTTTTGTCTCCATTCATTTTTTTAAATGGATCGTAATCAGGTATTTCATCTTTTCGCCTCTCTAATGCATAATAAGAGTGAGATTCAAATGTACGCCCGCTGTTTGTTCTGCACAATCTTGTATGTAGTTCATGTTCTTCAACAGAGTCAGGTGTAAATCGACTCTTATTTGAATCTGGCATTAAACTATTGTTTTTTACGCCATTTTCATGAGAAAGACAAGAATGAACCTGAAAGGGAAATTTTATATAGCCCTTATTTTTAAAAATAATAATGATTTACTTCGAAAAATCATGGAATCCTTTCAGAGAAATCATGAAAAAACCTGGTCCTCTTAATTATTAGATATTTTACTTTATTCCTTCTCGAGTTTAAACACAAAATAAATAATGAAACATATTAATAACTTTTGCTCAAATAATCGGATTGCAAATTACTCAGATACATTGTTAAAAGTTTGAGGGGCTAAACTTAAATATGTGATTTGTGAGCACAATATTTCGCTAATTTAGTTAATAAATAAGAAGAAAAAAAACGTAACTTCTCTAAATAAATATGCTTTGTTTCGATAAATTTTTTACTCTCAAAATATTAAAAATGTCATCCTAAAAGGTTAAAGAACGATCGACTGTCTAAACTATTAGAATCCCATTTTAAGAGTGCTAATCATATTTTGAAAATTCCGTCGAAAACGGGTATAATTCTTTTGTGTCGCGTAACTTAAAATATGGTCAGCATAAACTTCTTTTGATATCTAGAAAATTGAAATTTGTTGAGGCACTAATGGTGAGTGTCTAAATGCATTAACATTCGATTATTTATAGAGGAATAAGTTAATGAAAATTGAATTTATAAAAATAATTTATAATGAAAACGAAAAACAATTTTTACTCAACGTAATTGTTTCTGTTAAATATTAATTATGATTGATAAAAACCGTAATTGGTTTATATTGAACTTTTACTTCAATATGAAGTCGTATGTAAGATCGATTCTCTTGAGTAATTAAGAAAAGATTCCATTACATCACTATTAAATTCATCGTGAATACATACTACATTAAAACTAATTTTTTACAGATAGTAAAAGTGTCTCACATTTTTGAATTTTACAACTTGTTGTCACTTGAAACTATCGAATTGTTGCAATTTTTACCTAATTCGAATGTGGTGATTTCAAATCTGAAAGATTCTTTTGGTATTTTAGTTAAGTTCATTTTTTGTCTGAAGAACACTACTCCACAATAAGGGAGATTTCTGTACTTGACATTTCTTTAAAATTTCTCAGGAAATATTTATTCTATAACATTAGAGGTGTTTATATTCTCATACTTATCAATATATTTTAAAGCTTCTAGAGGTTTCAAGGACAACGCATTTTTAAACATCCTATGCCATAAGCCTTGGCAATCAGCTTAGAACTAGAATCGATCGCTTTGGTTATTATTTTGAATATTTACGTGGAATTTCGCTTAAATAATTATAAAGAACATTTTGATAAAAACAAAATTTTTTTTTTGTTTTTGCTGTAACTTTAAAAATATTCAACAAAATTAAACAAAATTTTTGGAACAATTTTTAATTTTAAACAAAATTATTATTATAAAATTTGAAAATTGAATAAATTTAGAAATATTGACAAAGGCATTTATGATTGATGTTTTAAACATTATACTTTGATGAAACATCAAAATGCGCCAATGATTATTAAAATCATAAATAGCTTTTCGATCGTAAATAAATGATTTTTTATCTCCTAATTGACTCATTTCACTTTCAAAAATAATGGCTCAGTTAACAAAAATTTTATCATTGATCCATATAGAGCAAGGTAATCTATTCACAATGCTAAAATGTTTAAAAAAATATTGAAGCTTCTGTTAAATTTCTTTGTAAGTAATATGTATTTCCCACAAATAAATACTAATGAAAATACGACGTGAATAGATAAAGATTTGAAAATTAGGAGGAAAAAATATAAACAAATGAATATACCTCTTGTTTCGAGATACTTGAGTGAACTATTGAAGTTTGGTTATATATGGGGTCAGCAGAGAGTTCATTTCTGGAAAAATTACGTGTTTTTCTCTTAAAGCTCCCTTCGCAAATACTGCAATCATTACCATGTTCACATTTACATCTGAAGCAAAGAAACAAAAACTAAATTAATGAAACTTAAAATATCACGTAATCATAGAAGTACTGTTCTCAAAATTAAAAATAGACAACCCTGAAAAATTTTTAATCGGATCTTCACGTTCTAGGACTCAATCTTAATGGTTTGAGGAGGTTCTAGAGTAAGTTCTTTCTGTGCAGAGTCTAAGACAGCTTGTAGATCAAACACAGCATTTTATAAAAACATAATAGTTGTATATTAACATTTACAGTGATTTAAATCTTAGTTATTTTGAACTCGTTGAACATGCAGTCATATACCACTGCGTTCGTCTTTCTGCCATATCATCAAATTTTTCTGGGTGCTTGAGGCCGTCTTTCTCTCTCCGTTGAATAAGTTTTTATAGCACAAGATTTGAATATGTTGCTACCCTATAAATGATATCTTTCATCTCATCATCAAAATTTATCTGGGTGCCGTCTTTCTCTCTCCATTAAACAGGTTTTTATAGCACAAGATTTGAAGGTTATGAATTTCAACTTTCAAAGAACATTTGATTTTCAAATAATTTGCATAATACATAAAATTTTGCCTACTGATTTTAAATATGCTAATTAATGTGTGCAGGCAGACAATATTTTAAATTTCGAAATCAGGCATGAAAATGTACTTTCTCTAATTAAACATACCTTTTTATTCGGATTTTTGATCCTCAAAATAGAGGGCTAGTTGCACTCTGGGAAATATGGTTCGTTGAAAAAAAGTTATGTTTATTCAAAGGTGTCTGACTTCGTAACTTAAAATATCGTCTTTACTAGTTAATTTGAATATTTGAGGTTGCTTCCTCAAACCTTTAAGACTTGAGTCCTGGAACGTGAAGATGCGATCATTAGATCAAAAGTTACTCAGGATGGTCCAAATTTTTTTTTTATTTATTTTGCACATTGCACATTCGTCTTGTTTAGCGCTATGGATTGAAAGATAAATGTTTTATTAAAATGTAGTAAAATTTTTGTTTGATAATCTGAAAATTAATTGCGTAAACTAATAAAAACTAGTAGAATAATTTCAATTTCATAAATAGAAACGATATGTTTCCAATGTTTAATAAATTTAATTATCAAAGTATACTTACATTTATCCAGTTCACAACATTGCATATTGACTTCATAGTATGAAAAAATAACCTATACTTACCTAGCAAAAACGAAATTCATGGCTATAATAAAACTATGTCCAGCAGCTCATAAGAATTTATATCAAAAATATTTTATTGCTTAAGTATTAACAATATATAAAAATATTTTTATGTATAAGCTTAGAATATATTTAACCGAGAGAAGTGATTAGCAATACTTGAAAGCTTAAATAATTTTTTCTAAGCATGTTTCTTTGAAGCTTTGATTACTAAACATACATATTATTGATTTAAATATAATTTATATTAAAATGCTGATTACCTGCTATTTTTGTAATAATTGCTATTATTTTGGAGTCTCCTATCAGAACTTTTTTTTCCATCCATTTGTTTGCAATCATCACTTGATGAACGACCTCCTTCTGGTTCTGGTCTGGTGGGACAATCTCTGTTTTGTCGTTTCAGCCATTTTTTCATCCCTGTTGGCTGTTGCCAGTTACTTTCAGCAATTAAATCGTTATATGTATGTTGTGCTTCATGTGGTGTTTCTGGACTTGGATATAATTTACACACACTCTCAATATATTCTGCAACATCGTTTTCATGAAGTTCTCTTTCATACAAATGATTCAAGTTTTTTGGTGATTTTTCTTGAAGGCTAAGGATTCTGAGTTGATGACGAATATTCACTTTTTCCTTGTCTCTCTGCTTTCGAAATTCTTCTTCAACTTTGTTCATCCACTCAATTTCTTCCTGCCTTTTTCTTTCTCGAGCTTCAACTTCTCGAGCCAACTTTTCTTCCAATTTTTTCTTTTCTTCTTGCTTAACGGTACTTTGATATGAATATTTCTTCCTATTAATTGGTTTCTTCATTACTAATTCACTATCGGTATTGACGTAGATATCATCTACTATTGAATGCTTTTTTAATGGAGTCGATTTATACTCTGGTAAATAAATGACATGTCCTTCAGAGGATTGACCAGGGAAGGATTTTTTCCATTCGGGATTCATGACAGGATTACCATGTGGTGATTTATTAGTTTCCCTTTCTTGTTGCCTGGCTTTTGATTCAGAATTGCTGCGCCTTACATGCTCAAGTATATACATTTCTGTTGTTTCATTTTCTGGCTTTTCAACATTAAGATTATTAATGAAATTAGGCAGACTTCTACTTAATGACCAGTTAGAATCTAAGCCTTTGTTCTCTTCAACTGGAGCTTTTGTTCTTAAGCCCAATGCTTTCTTGAGATTTCTTAAACTATTAAAATGTTGCCCTTCTGAATTTTTGCAACTTTTCTTTCGTCTGCCTTTACTCTTAATCTTTTCTTTTTCTGGATAGAGTATTTCATCAAAAACATTCCTTTGGTCTGTTCTTGGAAGAGATCTAGAAGGAAACATAAGATTTGGCATCGAAAATTTTGCTTGTATATTTTTAGATGGTCTATTTCTATCATCGGATGGTGAGTTATCACTACCACATTCACTATCATCTGCCAAGTCATGTTGAGGTACCCACATAGAATTATGCTCATCAGGAGATGCATTACATATCTGAATATTATTCATAACGAGAGTTTCCAAGCTTTCATTAATTAACATTGGACTACCTGCATCCGGAGAAATTCCAGAATCTCCGCTTCTATCATGTATCAATTTTCTTGGGGCTACAGGCCTGTTGATACGACATATTTTTTCTTCTAATAAGTCATCAGCATCATCACTACTAACATCGGATCTTTGTTGGTGAGATTTAAAAAAGTCCAAATTAATGGATTTCCAAACATCTGTGGGTGAAAAACGTGAGATTTCTACTGGTCTTCTGGGCAATGTGGGTCGAAGCTGAAGATCTATTTCCAGTTCTTCCTCGGAAGGTGTGGAACTAGATATTGCTCCTTCAGGATTAAATCGCGTATTTGATTCCAAAAAAGTTGGTTCCCATTTATTTTGTCGAATTTCATAGTCAGGTGCTGAAACTTTTGGTAACCTAGGACTAAAATGTTTTTGTTCCAATTGTGTGACCATATCATTATTTCTTATATTATACTCGTAATCATTTCTGGTAATTGATGAAATTTTATGAAGTGATGAATTTCGAGCCAAATTAGGTACATCACGATGGTCTGTTACAAATTTATCATTCCTGCTTTGTCTTTCGTGTTTAGAATTACTATTTCTATGAATTTGTTGAACGTCATTTCTATATCCATGAAAATGTTTATTTGTGGGAGGTTCACAGCGTTCCTTCGAATCTTGAGAATGTTGCATTGATAGTTTGAATGACTGGTTTCTATGTTCCCTTTTGATTCTTTCAGCTCGCTTTTTAGCAGCATCAGTAATTGCGTCTTTCAATGCAAAATTCAAAGGTTTTTCGTCCTCTCCCGATGGATACAAATTACTTTCACTACAAGTAAGGTTTCTTAAACTGTTATTTCTTTGGCATCTGTCAGTCCTGTTTTCAACATTTTCCCGAATTCTTTGTTCCTCTACCCGATCTAAAGATTTACAACGTTTCCGTTTTTCTACAGATTCCTGATTTGACCTAAATTTCCATTTTTCAACTGTTCTCCTATTCTTTTCATAATTTTTACTAACTGTTTTAAGTGCAATCACATCATCTGATCCTTTATTATAATCTGGAGGTGGTGGTGGGGGAGGAGGAGGCATTTCTTCAGGAGGAATTGGAGGTAAAGGTCGCCTAGGTGTATCACCATAGTCGTGAGCTATAAGACAACATTTATTAGTTCGTGGATTTTCATTATTATATGAAACCGGAATTCGACTTAGTGTTCTAGGTAAAGTGTTAGACTGGGGAGGCTGAGGTGCTCTTTTCTTTTTTCTTGATTTAATTTTAGCTTTACTGGGACTGACTGCAATTATACTTCTTTTATTTATAGTTTCTTCACATCGTCCATCAATGTCTGAGTCATCCTCATCTGAATCATTCATCATCATGCGAACTATATCAGGATCACTATGAGATTTTCGGTGGCCGTACAATGTCGATTGCATAGAATGACATTTTTTTTGTAAAACCTGGACGAATTCTGGTTCTGATACTGGATTAGCTTTCCTGCCGCTGATGGTACCTCCATTTTGTAAAATACAGCCATTATCTGTACTGCGTAATCGTTGAGGTGGGTTTGATGCTATAGGAAGGACACGATTTTCAGGACTAGCAAATTTACTACTAAACTTTTTTCCTTCCTTATGGTTGTTTTCATGGTTATGAAGAAGAGAAGGAGCAAAGCGAGATACTGATTGTGAATGAGAGTTACCCATTGAACCTCTTATCTATCTGAAATATGAAAAAAATACTTTAAATTTAACCAAGCAATCCTATTATAGTTGACAGATTAAAAAATAAGTAAAAAAATATTTTAAAAATAAACGTTAAACATGGGTCACTTATAATACCTGTTATTTTAAAATGCAAATGGCTAAATTGTACTTCATTAATATCACAAAGACAATTTTTAACTTATCCTTGAAGATTCGTTAATATACATGTAAATTTACTGAATCTGACGCAGATTGGAGTTTTGAGTCATTCATAACAGTTACAGTCATTCATAACAGTTGGGTTTAGTTTCGTTCGTCTTTAACCCGCGCTCTTTATGCCAATTAGGAAAAAGGTGCAAAAGACCAAAATAAAAAAATCCAGAGCTTTGTAAAATAAAAAGCTTTTGTGATCTTATTTTTTAATCAATGAAAAGTTTCTTCCAACTGGCTTATAAAAATATGTGAACACTATGATGGTTTATGGCTATGGTTACATGGTAATAATGGTTTTCATAAAGTTGGAAAAATCTGGCTAAATTAACAAGCTTTTATGTTTACAAATTAAAAATATTGGCTGTTTGTTTGCTTTATATTTAAGTTCCGATTAAAAATTTAGGGGATTCTTTTCAGTAAGATGGTATAATGCACACTTTTTAAAAAGTGACAGTGTTAACAGCAGCAAATTCGATTGATGCACTAAATATTCACTACTCTTTCAATAAACTTTCTATTTAAATAAAATTAACCCTTTCAGGACTTTCCCTTTATATATAAAGCAAGCCTTTCTTATTAATGATCTCAATTCAGTCTTTTTTCGTATCACATCTTGTATTAGTATATATTCGTATATTCTCAAAAAGTGCTTCTCAAACAATAAAAAACAAATTCCTTATTTCTAAACATAGTAATTTAACTTATTTATTGCTGCTATTTGTTATGTATACTATCAAGGAATTTTATCTATAAACAATTAGACGCTTTTTTATTCTCGTTACATTGGCTCAGTTAATAGCATGAATATGCATGGCTTTTGAATAACAGCATTTTTTTTGTGAATAACAGCCTGGCTTTTTATTATTATAAATTGGTTCTTTTGATTAGAAAAAAATATCTTTTTAAGGCATTTATAAGAAACTTTTGCAATAGTTTATGTTAATTCCTGCCACCAGAAAGAAATACACATTTATTCTAAAATTTTTATTGTGAATTAAATAATTGTTAATTGTTACGTTACGTTAATTGTTGTCAGGGATTTAAGTTAATTTCTCTGTTATGCTCCCATCAGAGTTTGGTAATACGAATCTAGGCGCGATTTTATTTTCACTCCTCCAAAATTCCACCAGGAATAAGGCCCGAAAATATATTGCTAAATCATTAGTTTTTTTTTTTATATTCATGCTGTTAGGGAATTACGTTAATTATAAGTAGCTTAACTACGTCCTTAACCCAAAATTTTCCTACTTAGGCATAAAGAGGGTTTCTCCGCTAATAATAAAAATTTATTATAATGAAAATCATTCTACCAATGCTTTCAAAAGCAGTACTATTGAAAAAAAAACTCCTATGAATTCCTCAGAAATCCATGATCAGTGTAGAGTAGATGGCAATGGTTCTGTGTCAATTCGTTGCTCACAATTTGTCGTGGAACAATCCTGTGTGAGTACAATTCGTCCCAACGACAATTCAACAAGAGCACTACTTGGCCCAAAAACAATTCGTTGCGAGCACACAGTAATTATGGCAACGAAAAGGGTGTTTCTTCGGAAAAGCTATCATCAAAGTATATATATTTGCAGAAAATTTTGTTATGTCGGTATAAATGATATATATATATATATATATNAGATTTATATATATATATATATATATTAATTTCAGTATTCATCTGTACACGTAATTATTACAAAATTCATAGGGGGAGCCAAATTCACACAGCACACAACAGAGAACCACACATACGGAGAGGGGAGGGAAACATCCATGCCCTGGGCGGGATTCGATCCCGCGGCTACTGACTTCACAGTCAAGCACGCTGACTCACTACGCCACCTGGCCGGCAAACTCCATTTATAGATTCCCTGTATTTTATATCATTTATTAAAAATAATTCTGCTCTTATATTCCAGTTCTCACATAGTAATCAGATTCAGAACAAGATAGTTCAGATTGTGTTGTAAGATTTCCTGGTGTAAGCATATTTAACAGATTATCCTATTAACTATATAAAAGTGAAGGGACGAAACTGTAAATGTGCCACTTCTCTAGGTTTTTAATAGTACAGTTATTTTGACAATGCATAGAAATGACTGAAGGATTACCACTACGGTTAAATCATATGCTACATATGATTGAGACAGCAAAGACTTCTTTTTTAAATTTATTTCGATAACTGAAAAAGGAAAAAGAAAAACTGACAAGAAAAAAACCTGAATGTTGATAAAATTAACTTTGAAACCGGTAGTATGATAAATGATTTTTTTTCAAATCAAAGAGTACTCCCTCTCTCATTAAATTGAAAATAAATCAAAATTTAGACGATTCCCTCTAAAATTATAAAAATTGCTTTCAAATTTTTTTTTCGCACATGCCCTGTATGTGAGTTAAACAGAAATAAATAAATAATAGTGTGCTTTATATACTAAAGTGAAAGGAGTAAATAATGTGATGTATATTAAATGCATTTTTCCGACTTATTGTGTTGTTTGATTGTTGAATTTTAATAATGATATAAATTTTATTTTATAATTTATTTTTTGAATAAAAGATATGCTATAGAAGTCTTTTTCAGGTTTACAAAAATGTTTAAGAATTTTAAAGTATTTCGAAATTTTAATTAAAACAGTTTGTATTTTACCAGTGCGAAAAGGGGAAAAAAGTATTAATTTGTCAGTTTATTAGAAAAAGAATGTACCAAAATTAGTATTTATGTCTTAAAAATTGTCTACATAATGTATAAATGTTTTTTTCCTGGAAAATATGAATTTTGATGAAGAGCTAAATAAAACTGACTGCCCAGCTCAAATGTGAAATGGAAAAAGCCCAGAGGAATTGAAGTTTTTTCTTACATTGGATAAGATGATCGTAGATGTAGACACTTGCTCCATAAGAGCAATTAACTTTTTGTTTAAGGGTCACTTTGTTTTTAATGTAATGTAAAGTAAATCAAGCACTATGTTCTTCTCGTTTCTTTAGTTTATGCTCTGTGAGCTGAAAAAGGTGCTTCTAAAAGCACTATAGAAAACTTAAATATTCTACCATCTAGAGTGAACACATAAAGAATATATGTAAAATAAGACATATACAATAAAATATCTTTTTTTTTCTGTAATTTAGTTGTCTTATTCACTAATGCATTCTCACATTTTATGTTAAAAGCTATAACCCTTTGCAGTTGCATCATAGCTTTCAGGCACCAATTCTTTTTGTAAGGATGCTGACTGCTCCACTTCGAGAAGACATTTTATAAAGTGGTAAAGAATTAAAAACTAAGATCTGTATAATTTTGCTGACATGAAAGTTATATATTTTTAATAATTATCATTGATGACTTAATGTGATTTTTAGAGTTGTGTTACATATGCATATAACGTGATATATAAGCTAGTTAAAAATTACCAAAGATGCTACTATGTTTTTTTTTACAATTAAATTGAGTTCAGTTCATTTTGTTAATTAGAATTAAACAAATGAACGATTAAAACAGGGAAAATCTGACATTGTCAGGGAATTTTATTTTAGCTCCAAAAATCAGGGAATAGTCTGGGCAAGTTGTAATTTTTTTCACAAAATCTGGAAGAATATTTTATATCTGGAAAATAACCAGTCTTAAAATTATCAGTAACAGTAGTTAGTTATTGAGAATCGAGTTAAACAATTCTAAATCTATTACAATTATTTGTTGCAAAAATTTTATATTTTTGTCAAACTGAAATGTCCCCTTCCTCATTTAATGATATATTTTTTTATGCATAAAATCTAATATTTGCCATTACAAATGAAATAATCAAATTTTTCTGATGAAAAATGGAAGGATATAGATAAAATACGATCTTGATTTTAGTTGTAATTTACTTGGAATACTTGGAAAAGTTAGGGAATTTTTCCTGAAATTTAGTAGGTACCCTGTTAAAAAGACCTTATGCTCTTGCCTTTCACAAATATCTAAAAATATTTTTTAAGTATATTTTTTTTAAACCATTTATAAATAAAGTAATAACTAGAAAAGTTACCATCCAAATAAAATGGAATGTAGAGGAATTATCAAAATTATGTTCCCAAGAACTAGGATGGAAATGGTTAAGTACGATTTAACGTACTAAATGAAGTCACTTTAATTACTATTTGAATACCTAAATAAAATTAAAAATTATGTAAACTGTTAATAAAAAATTTGTTTCATTACAAAAAGTTAAAAACCCTTGAAATGTTGTATTTAAGTCTGTCACAAAGCTTTCGATATCTAAAGAGTATTATCTTGCAATTATATTCAGCATATTATTAAACACAGATGGGTTACTAAACTTTCACTTTTTTTTATCAACTATCACCATTTAGTTTTATAATTTAAAAGAAAACTTATTAATTACCAAGCAAATCATTGATGAAATTTAAAAGAAATTAATGCTGATAAATTATTGCTATTAAATATGCTAAAAATATTTTTCCTTTCATCTTATTTACGACAGACATTAAAAGATTCAGTGAATAGTCGGAAAAGGATCAATTTAATTCGAATGTTATTTAAATGACATTCAAGTAAAAATAATAACTAATGATAGTATGATTAAAATATATTCACTTAAATGTGGCTAATTATGAATGAAAAATTATTGAAATTCACACAAATTCAAGTTAAAAAGACCCAATCAAGTGATACATATAATCAATCAAAAGCGATTGAAAATCATTCCAGTTTGAGTGAAAATGATCCACTCAAGTGATACTGAAAATCACTCAAACACGATTGAAAATAACTCAAGTTTGAGTGAAAACGATCTACTCAAGTGATACTGAAAA